ATTAGAACGACCCAGACTTTTCGAATGTTATGAGAGAGGTCCATTTAGAATGAATCAGATTTTGCAACGCTGCATATGTTTTTAAAAACGATTTGTTGAGTCATATGACGAGTGTTCCTCAAATCAAACCACCAAAACTGAAATCAGTTCATGAATTTAGCATCTTGGTGATGGGTGCAGATGGAGAATAGAACTGTATCCAATATTCTCCCCAATGTACTTATTCATTATTCCCTACATTATGCCACTAATATAGTCCACTTGAAGGAGTAAATGAAAATTAATGAGCAAATTTGGTCATTGAGTGTATTGGAAGGACTGCTGCTTTTTGCATATTTTGTGCTTGATTTTTAATAATAAAATTAAAAAGCTGACAGTGTGATTGCGACCTGGTAAGCTAAAACACGAAGATGATTCTGATGTGGCCACCATCTATACAATGGCTGCATGTTTTGTAACAAATACTGTACTATGATAAAAAGATTGTTATGAAAAATATTGTTTGTTAGAAATATTTATGGCCAGTGATTTTTCTCAATTCACCTCATCACAACATTGTACACTATCCATACCCCTTTTTAGCTTAGTGATTTCTAAAATCTATTAGCATTACATTAATATTACTTTAAATTTAAATATTGCAGGCCTGGAGGCTAAAGTGTAAAATTGTCAGTGTGGACATTTCCAATTCCAAATTTTAGTAGATTTGACAACTTCAGTGAATTTGAGTTTAAACAAGGAGTGGATATTCTCTTTGAGACCTCTAGATTCTGACTGGCAGTCTTTGCCTCTGGCATAAAGCTCATCTCCTGGTGCTCTCAAAGCCAGCACTCTTTAGCATGCTGTCAGTATGGCAAAAAAATAAAATAAATAAATACAATTTGATTCCCATTTCTACTTTGTCCCTGTACCAATATGCTTATGAAGCACAGAACAAAATCTAAAACTGAGCTAATTTCCCAGTACTGTAATTAAGGTAAGTATGAAAGTAAGTATGAATAAATACTTTAATGTAGAATTTTACACTAGCAAAAGTGCTGCTGTTTCAGATGACAACACTGTAGTTATGTTTTGTGTTTGAATTAATCAGTAGTTTAGTTGAGTGAATAATTCAATGACTCGCTCATAAAGAAAGTCAAGTTGTTGGCAACTTCAGGCATAACAAGTTAATATTCAGCAATAGCTAATCTAAAATCACCACCACTAATGCACAAGCTAATTGTAAGTATTTATTAGGGCTGTCAGTTTAATGAGCTAACTTAATTAGTTATGAAAAATAACGCAATTTAAAATATTTTAACACCATTAACACACTGGCGCTCGCCCCCAGACCTGTACGTCATCTTACATTTCATAAAGTTGACTGTTGACAAACATGATGCAGGGCAACAACTCCATAAATGCAGTTATGCCCTAAAATTCAAGATATTGGGGCAAAAATGCTCCTGTATGAGTTTCTGTCTCATGTTTATATCACATGATAAGCAATATCACAGGAGCAGCGAGAGCAGTATCACACAAGTACTGTTTTTGTCCCGAATATCATGAGTGCAAATGTGGTTTTATACAACAGTTCAGTAAAGAAGTTAATATTGTGTTATATTTTCAACACAATATTGTCTGTTTTTTTCTCAGTTTTGCCAACAAAAAAATATTACGTATAAAGCCACATCAGTGATTGTTGTGCATCTCTGAGCAACGCAACGGTGTTTAGTTTCTGAATGAATCCGCGTTTTGAATGAATCGTGTGAATCAATGATTCAAAGACCCATTCATAAAGAGAGGCATTTACTGAATTCCTGAATGAATCAGCCGTTTGAACGAATCGAATGAAAGACTCATAAAGACATTTGTATGTTGAATCAAATAAAATATTTCTTTCTAAAGCTACTATGTGTGATGTCTTCTTAACACTTTCTCATTTAACACAAAAATAGCTTTAAATAATCTTTTCGGGTTACAAATGTAATTTGTGATTAATGTGACATCATGTAATTAATTAGATAAAAAATTGTAATCAAAAGACAGCCCTAATATTTATATGTCATGCTAATATTTATTGTTCTGCATTTATTTTATGATTTTCAGGTGGAATGTGACCTGTACATTTTTTTAATGTGAATTCTACTCTGTGGGGTTTTATCTTTGGATGCTTTATTATTTTATAGGACAGATATACTGAATGAAACATGAAATGGTACTTTCAAACCTGTCTGTAAACCTTGTGAAATTAAATCAATGTATTCGTGCATCTCTATTTGAGTATGTGTTTGTGTACGCACATGTGCCCTGCTAATTAGGAGGGTAAAAAAATTCATGAAAGTTGTGTGCGTGTTTCTGAAATGCCCTACTAAAGTCACCTTGGCTTGGTGTTAGACACTTTCCATCAGGTGCAGCCCATGCCTCAGGTGACACGACATTAAAGGCCTACAGGCAAAGCAAGGCCAGTGCATTAGAGTCAACTGCCATCCCAATCACTCTCCCGGCCCAAAGAGAAGGAAGAATACTGTAGATGTATTTGATGTACAGACCTTCAGATGAGAGGAGCAGTTTAATACTGAATGGAGTGTGGTTTCTTCCAAAGCTGTACCCAAAGAGAGAAAAAACCTTGGTTAATTATGAATGCACATAATATATTATTAAACAGTGTCACTTTCGTCTTTATGGTTCATTTCATGAAAAATTATGACAATTATGAATTTTTCCTCTGGGTTGCTGATTATTAAAGTGCTGTTTTCTTGTTCAAATGCGGGGCCCTTTCAATAAAGATTAGATGTGACTTCTGCTTTTGGACAAATCAATTTTGTCTGCTTGATTTGTAAAGAAAAATAAACCCCAACCCTTTAAGAAGGCTACCTTTTCAGAACAAACACATCCATCAAACATGAGATGTCATGAATTAAAATAATGTTTCGTTTGTTTTGAACTAAATAGAGCATTTTAAGGTAAAATCCTTAATGGGGATATGGTGTTTATTTGGGTCAATAAGAGAATAATAATAATAAAAAAAAATTATTGTCGAATAGAACAAATGCCTGAAGTGATAAGAGATATATACAAAAGAGCAGAGCGGTAGTATGTGAAGACTGTAATTGAGAACCACTGGTCTGAGGAACCCCTTCATTGCTGTAACCCTAAAAACCAGAGTGCCAGAGGGTTAAATAGGCATTTTCGTTTTCCTGAAGCCACCAGGGTGGCACTGGGGCTTGGGCCCGTCGTCGCTGCTTGCAGCTGTGTTTGTATTTTTTTTTAAACAAAATTTGTGAATATTTATAAATATCATTACTGACCTGAATTAGCCTAGCCCTTGTCAATAAAAAATAAATACCATTATTTGACTTACTGACTTTCACCCGCAGTCATGAGGGTTTTGCTTTTAAATTTTTTATTTTGTTGTTTTTATTTGTTAATTTTTTTTGTATATATCTTTTATTTTTGCATATATCTGTTAGTTGCACCACATGACTTTGATTTTACTGGAATGTTTTTATTTATTTATTTTAAATATTATCAAGCAGTGAATACTTTTGTTTTGGTCTAAGAAATAATCATTTAATCAGACTTTTTCCTCCATAATTAAGTAGCTAAGAATAGTAGACATGCTAAAAAAGAGCATCATGGCTTGACTGACAATCCTTCCTGCTGGTGTCCAAGTGGAAGAAACATGGTTTACTCTCTGCAATCTGAATATCTTAATTAGGATTTATTCATCTGTAGTGGACACACATGGAATTTCAATTTCTTTTACATCAGAAGGTCTTTACTTCATTGCGAGAAGCCACACTTACAGAACGCTCATCTAATAACTAACATACCCTCATGAATTCATCAAGTGCCAGATGATTAGTGCAGAATGTGTTGAATCACTTGAGTTAGGTAGCAAAATGTCTTTATCCGTCCTTTTGGAATGAAGATCAACAATAATTTGCTTTGGTTTACAAAAGAGTGAGCGAGCAAATTCTTATTGCATAAAGGCCAGAATGTTTTCACACTCTTTAATATTGGAACAAACGCACCGCCAAGCCTCTCGCTGGCAAAACAAGATATTTTAACAGATGGTTGCTTCAGCGTGCCACTTGATGAATGGTACCATATGTCTCAGATTGCCACAGTAAAGATTATCACCATTACGAGCGCTTGTTCGCGGGTTTTGTTTGTTTGCTTGTCTGTGTTTGCTCATCAAGCGTGCCAACAACTGGAGTGTTATATCTGAGCATGTGGGCGCACATGTGTTTATGAATACATGTCATCTTCTGTGTGTGTACCTTCTGCTTTGTGAGTGAAACCCGCTGATCCTCAGAAAAGGTTGAAACTGCTGCAATTTGAAACCTTGTTAGAAATTTATGAAGTGCTAAAATGTTTAGTCCCGAGGGAAAACACTGCCAGCTGTCACTGGTGAGCCATTTACTGCCAAACGGAGATTGGTGCTCAGATAGGGCCTGTGGCACAGCATTGAAGAGATTTTCATCAAGACGCAAGAGAAATTTAGCAATTAGCAGGAAGTCATTCAACTTGAACTTTTCTTTGGTTGTGATTAGCTTCATGATGCAATGCCACATTTTCTCTTCTGTGTCTTAGTGCTGATCTTTAATACTCTCTCTATATTTATATATGTACTGTTAGCATTTGTGCTCATGTGTATTTACTGCGATATTACAAAAATATTAAGATGCCAATTTGATGCTTTGTCATTTAAAAAATGTATTTTATATATATATATATATATATATATATATATATATATACACAATCAAAATAATTCAAATAAACAATTATAAATCAAAATAACTTTAAATCATTTTAATGTAAAGTAGATCACAGTTTATTTTTACTTGACTTACTTATAGTTGCATCTCCATAGTAAGCTGTAAACAGAAAATTATAACATCAAAAACTGACATTTCACTTCCACATCCAACATTAATTTGTCTCATTAATGCTTCTTCGTCCCTATTAATGTACTCGCTCACGCATTCTTGTCCTTGTCTTTTCCTTTCCAGTTTTCGGTGAAGATCTACGTTCCAGCTTATATTTTGTCAATGCATCTCTGCAAGAGGTAGTGTTCTCCAGCACCACAGGGGCACTGGTGCCGTGTCCTGCCGCGGCCGTGCCCCCCGCCGCGCTGCGCTGGTACCTCGCCACCGGGGAGGAGATCTACGATGTCCCAGGCATCCGCCATGTGCACCCCAATGGCACGCTGCAGATCTATGGCTTCCTGCCATCCAGCTTTAGTAACCTAATCAATGACAATACATACTACTGCACAGCGGAAAACCCATCAGGAAAGATCAGGAGTCAAGATCTACACATCAAGGCCGGTCAGTCAGCTCAACAGAACAAAAAAACATGCAACCTACAGTGAGGAATACACAAAATGTATTTTTTTATTATTATAGCATAATGATTAATTTAATTATTGTAGAGAAAATTCCTGGTATTACTATCCTTGTAGGGGGTAGTGTATTTAGTCCCCAATGTAGGGAATAACACACACACACACACACACACACACACACAAAGAAAACAACGAAAATCAAGAACTAATCTAGTTTTTAACATATAAAATAACCTTTGAGCGTTTCAAATTACCTACAGCTCAGCATTATATATTAAAAGTGCTCATAGTTGTGCTTCTGTGATAGCTCTGAGATAGACAGATGAAAAACACTGAAATATTAATGCCTTTTTTGCTTAGGTCAGTCATGTGTGGAGAAGACAATGCTGGAATTTGGGTCATTTTTTGTGGGCCATTGTGTATTCTCGCTCTCTTTCTTTTGCTATCTCTTTTTGTACATCTGTCTCTTTTTGTATCTATCAGAATATGATTAGAGTATACATTCTTAGAAGTCACACTTTCAGTTAGTATTGTGAACTTGTAAGAATGACACTGAGTAAAAAAACACCTCTTTTCTCTTGACCGCAGTATTCCGCGAGCCATACACAGTGCGGGTGGCTGATCAGAGAGTCATGCGAGGGAATACGGCGGTCTTCAAGTGCATTATCCCGGCCTCAGTAGAGGAGTACGTCAGTGTTGTATCATGGGAGAAAGACACAGTCTCACTTGTCTCAGGTAGGGCTGATCACTCACATTGCTTTTGATAAACATGCAAGACTTATGAAAGCCTTCTTTTGCCATTTTTTAAAAATTCCCCTGAACTGCCATTCACTCTCTAGCATTAAATTTGTGTCATGCTGAAACAAAATGGGTCGCATAGCATGTTAATCTTGATCTGCCTCAGCTGTTTTGAAATAGTTGAGTGCTTTACTTTATGGTATATGTTTGATTTAACTCTTTGATTGACTAGTACCCTCTGGCTGGATTTGCCAGGAATGGAAGAATTTAGGGAAAGTTCAAGTGTGGTTTTTGGCTATAGACATGCAAAAGCGACTGTAAAGTTTAGCAAGCACTGTACATTCACTAGTTATTTGAAGTCCTTAGATTCAAAGATATGCCTGGCAAAGAATCTGGACGTGACAGACGGTAAACGTCTTGTACCAGAGCTTTTATTGAGCTTTGAAAAATCCATTCTCTCACCAATCAATGTACATCACCACTTATGACTAGCTGATGACATTTCCATGGTAACACTCTGGTAGTAACTGGCCAGTGTGGTTGGTGAAATATGGAATACTATACATGATATTCCTCATACCTTTATGAATGGTTCTGCAATTACATGGTAAGTGTCATTTATAAAGATGATCAATTTTATCTGATGCAGTCACAACACACATGCCAATATCAACCCGTGTGCAAAATGTCAGAAGCATTAGACCTATCCAATGCTCATCCCTCGCTAAATATTTAATGATGAAGGACCTGAAAGCTCTCTGGCATGTGAAGCTGAAGAATTGTTTACTCTTGCAGAGAAGTGGGCTTTGAGATTTTTGTGCTGGCATGTGCCTGCGCTTCATTCTTTTCTAAATCAACCAGATTTTGCTAATAACTGTTGTTGGTGGTGTGGTCAGCATGAAGATCGGCTCTTTGGGGATTAGATTAGTTGTTCAAATACATGTTCCAAAATTACTACATGTATTTCATAAAATACCAACAACAACCAGTGTACAGTCAGCACACAATCAATTCAGCTGGAATCTCTGGGATACCATTGTGTTGTTGCATCAAATGCAGGTTGTGAATTCAAAGGCATTTCCTTGAAGTGGCTGTTAACCAGTAGTTATTTAGACATTGTTTTGGGCTATAGCTTTAGGTATAGAAACCTTTCTAAAAGCTTGCCAATTTTAATGTAATGCCAATAATGATAGATTTGGGATATGTCAAGATTACTCTTGGGTCTGAACTTGACCTTCTGCCTTCACGTGCCAAAAGGCCTCCTCAAAACTAAATGCTGGTCATGTTTTAAAAAGAAGCAGCCCTTCACATAGCTTTGCAAACTATTAGAGGTCTGCCAACAATGCCAACTTTCTTGTTCTTGGTGGGTACAATCAATTCCAACATACATTTTTTTTCCCACATGGAAATCATAATATGGAAGAAAAATAGGCTGTGGAAATGTATTGCATTTTCATAGACGTACACAGTGCTATCAAGGCATATTACTGGTCACCCCATTGCTCCAAAACTGCAGTGTGAGACATTTTATTTTCTTGTCTTGGCAGCTTTTTTAATGTTAAAGGGATAGTTCACCCAAAAATGAAAATTTGATGTTTATCTGCTTAGGACATCCAAGATGTAGGTGACTTTGTTTCTTCAGTAGAACACAAACAAAGATTTTTAAGTCAAACCGTTGTAGACCTAACCATTGACACTCCTAATCGAGATTGTAGATAGAGTGTCAACGGTCCATTTGAGAGATAGGGGGCAGTAATGCACTTATAAGTCTGCGATCCGCCGTAAAGCAAGAAGAAGAAGACGCGTCACGCGCCGGCTTTTGAGAACAGTTCGAACATTCCGGTGAATCAGAGGTAAAAGACGATATAAATACTGTTCAGTTTCTTGCACAGACCGATCGTTTCGTGTCTTCACACATCAATGTATCGTCACTAATTTGTTTTTGTTTGAGTATGTTTTTTTTTACTCTCAAAGCCGTGATTCCCATTCACTTCCATTATAAGACTGACAGACTGCAACGGTTTGACTTAAAAATCTTCGTTTGTGTTCTACTGAAGAAACAAAATCACCTACATCTTGGATGCCCTGGGGGTAAGCAGATAAACATCACATTTTCATTTTTGGGTGAACTATCCCTTTAAATCCCAGATGTAACTGGATGTGTTTCTTCAAATGTGGACACAGATTTTGCACTTAAAAATAAAATTAACAGAATGTAAAGACATTTCTCAACCTCAAACAATGTCTATGAGTGGACGTACATGGATCACAGGAGTATTCTGAAATTTGACTACAACTACTTTGTCCTGCTTCGCTTCAAACATCATGTCTCATAAATTTCCTCAAGTATATACTGACACTTTTGAAAAATTTTGTTGCAAAATTGTTGGCAGTTCTTAATTTCAAAATGCGACTCATATTTTTGACGCATTTTCATATTTTAATGTTGAAAATCTGGTCTAGGACAAAGACAAAAGTGTAAAATCAATTGCCAAATGCATTAAAATTATAAATACATTTTGAAGAACCTGAATGAAATTGTAAATCAGGATACTGTACATCAGAGCAGAACCATTGTGCTGTTAGCATGAAGCATTCGATCTCTTTTCCCTTGTCTGCTTAGCATAAATCAGTGTTCGGAGTGGACGTGCGAGCTATTCCGACCCTATAATTCCGGCTAACATTGGAGATTGTCCCGCAAATCACAGAGAAGATGAAATGCATGATTACAGAGTGGGACTTGTCTTAATTAATGAACTGTGATTGAAAATATAATTACAATATGAATTACCTCTCAAAATAAAGACTGCTCTCTAGTCATTTGAAGCGAGGGCCTGTTTTAAATGTGAATGAACGGGGCCTAATGATACTCTAACTTACCATTAATCTGTCATGCATTTTAAAACGGACCTTTCTGTGTGCGCTTTCAAATTCATGGTTGTGGATCCGTCCCCTCCCGGCTTTTGATAAACAATTGACAGCTCTAATAAAGAGATGAAAGGCTGTGCAGGTGAAAGGGCCCATGTGTGTGCGTTTGTGAGTGTATCTTCCTCTTTGAGTGCCCAGAGCACGGAACAGGTCCTAATGCACCTTGCAGGCTGTATGTATTTTGTATGTATTTTAGGGATTTGACTACTGAATATTGATGGTGGCCGTATTTCTTTTGTCATCTTGTCTGCATGCAGACCTTTTATCCGTTGGTTCACCCATTTGATCTTGTTTTAGTGACTGAAGGGATGCAATCAGCCACTTGGATAAACCATAGAGTTGAAGTCAACATGAAATTAAAATACATTTTTTTTTTTTTACTTATTTACCTCTAAAAGTACCATATATTTATGTAAAACATGCTTATTTTTATGTTATATTTAATATGTCTTATACTTCAGTAAAAAAAAAAAAAAATCAGTTCTATACAAAATATGCTTAAAGACCCATTTGTATATGGGTGTATGTGTGTGAGTGTGAGTTTTTGCCACATTGAGAATGTTGTATAGGCTCACTGCTTCATTTATGTGTATGTATGATCTGCATTGTGTTGGATTTATTGATTTTTATTGGACAAATAAAAAAAAATGCTTTGAATTTTAGTATTTCCCATTAATTTCCATTTTTGGGCATGAATGACAAATTAAGGAGTTTTTTTTTTTGTTTTTTTCCCAACCACTTAACTTTGTTGAATCGAGTCCTCTATTTTTTGTGTGTGTTCAGGTGGCAAACTTACGAAAAGTAGCCTAGTCTTGAACCGCTCAGATTAAGGAAATTATAAAAAAAAAAACTAAATGATTTTGCCCAAATTTGTCCCGAATGACGATTGAGGGTTAAAGGGTTAGTTCACCCCAAAAATGAAAATTCTGTTAATAATTACTCACCCTCATGTCTTTGCAAACCTGTAAGACCTTCATTCAGCTTTGGAACACAAATTAAGATATTTCTGATGAAATCCAAGAGCTTTCTGACGCTCCATAGACAGCAAGGGTCCTGCTTCGATCAAGGCACAGAAATATAGTAAGAACATCGTTAAAATGTTCCATGTGACATCAATGGTTCAACCGTAATTTTACGAAGCTATGAGAATACTTTTTGTGCACAAAGAAAACAAAAATAATGACTTTATTCAATGATTTCTTGTCTTCTGGGACAGTCCTCTGCCATTATAGTTGCATGTGCGTTGCATTTCTCTGCATGCAAACAAGGGGAAGCACATGTGTGTTCTGCGTCAGCAGCACCATGCGCATGCGTTGATAATGGAGGAGCACTGTCTCGGAAGAGAAGAAATCGTTGAATAAAGTCGTCATTTTTGTTTTCTGTGCACACAAAAAGTATTCTTGCAGCTTCGTAAAATTACGGTTGAACCACTGATGTCACATGGACCATGCATTTTAACGACGTCCTTAATGTGTTTCTGTGCCTTGATCGTGTAAGGACCCTTGCTGTCTATTGAGGTCCATGGATTTCATCAAAAATATCTTCATTTGTGTTCCGAAGATGAACAAAGGTCTTACGGGTTTGGAACGACATGAGGGTAAGTAATTAATAACAGAATTTTAATTTTTAGGTGAACTATCCCTTTAAGAAACGAGTTTTCTTTTTTGATGACCTCACCAAGCCCTCTAATATTTTAGCCCCTCCCATTTAAAGTCTTGTCATATTGGCTACACACATGAAAGAAACGTGTTTTTGACTCTGACCCCTGTTACTCAGATCGTTCAGAAACTGACAGCTCCTCTAATAACTATACTGTATGCAGCTTGTTGCATTTGTGCTAAACTTTGGTCTTGCTATAATTTTTTACAGTGCTTTGCCTTTGGCTTTTCTCATTACAGTTTACTTCATGGCCGCAGAAGTGTCCCTCTCTCATGGCTGACATTCACTGACATTTGTCAAACCATTAAGCTCAATTCACTTTGCCTTCCAGCGCGGTTAGAGGGGAAATCACAGCCACATGCACTTTACTTATTTAATGGTCTGTTTCTAATGGGACTTTGCTGTAAATA